AGTGAACACTCCAGATATCGTGTTTTGCTATCGTTGGCTCTAGCGAACTCAGCTTCTTCCCTGCACCTGGCATCAGATGAACTTACGACGAAATGCAATCAAAGAATTTCACGCCACAGACCACATTTTTTCGCTCAGTCAGACCGTAATGACGGCAATCACCTGAATGTGTAACAGCCCTTTGGCTACGAGTGGCTGATCAACATTATTGTTAACCCGCACTTTGAGAGGATATGGCGCCACTCATCCTTCGATTGGGCTGTTCATCTCACGTGTTCACGCATTCGCTGACTGATAGATGGAAGGTTCACATGGCTCGTGAATTATTCTTCCTTCTTAGCTACTCATATTTTGTTGATGTATAATAATATATATATTATAATATATATTATGATCTTCAGCTATTAACGTTGGGATCAAGCATGTGAATCCCCTCAGAGATCCGTGAAATACCTACGGTTGATGATTCTAAACAGTGATAAAACCACTACAGAATGCCTCTCAGATTTTTTGTAAAGGTTAGCTCCATATGCAGTACCAAGTTTCGGTCTGAATTCCCAAGTTTCCTCATACAATCAGTAACTGCTTTTGTCCTGCCAGGGACTAAAAATACAGGCCAACAAATTTGCATCACTTGTTATGGAATAATTTTTTCACAAATGTGGTGCGAACAGAAAGTGTTATTTATTTGGCCTCTCAATGCTTAGAAGCTAGGAATCACTAAATATTTTTTTCTTAGAGGCGACGGTTACCTGGAAATCGTTCACCGGCTTACTGATTTAGTCTGCGAAGTAGCTCAAAACACATTTACACCTCGAAACGGAATCCTAAAGCGTGTTGCAGACAAGCTGGTCGTAGCTTATTCGTCCGCTGGTAGTAAAAAATGGAGTTATTCTGACACTAAGAGCTTAGGGGTTGTCGATTCACCATAAAAAAATTATCGAGGATGAATTTCATGAGCTGCAATACTTGGATTTTCTGTTAATACGAATAGTTTCGTTGCAGATATTTGCTGATAAAATAGATTATAAATTCCACAGCCTAATCTTCTGAACATACCCGCAAACGTTTTGTGGGACAGGACTGCTGGAGACTAGAAATTTGAGCTGATAAAAAATTGAGGCTAAAAGAGTAGAATCCATAAAATCGCTTCCCAGCATCAGCCATGAACTAGATGACTGCTGATATAAAATCTCCTTTCTTCCCGTATCCGAATAGTTCACAAAATAATCAAGCCATTAGCCCTAAGGATTATATTATCATAACCCAAAACCCACGTATTCCGGCAGGATCCTTAGCCCACACGATCCAGTTAGTTGTTGTCCTCTATGCGGCTTCATAAGGATATTGACCGATATAGTTCCCCCTGTTGAAAAGACAATAAAACAGGATAAATCAACTCAACTGAATTGATTAGGCTACGAAGATAAAAATAGAAGATAACTAAGCACTTCTGAAGTGAAACTGCACACAAAGTTGTTAAAAACTCTTCGATAGCACATGATTCGTTATGTCCTTCTTGTGGTTCATCAGTTGGGTTTCAGCTGAGTCTCCCCGGAAAACCAAACTGGTACGCAAATGAGTGTATTTGTATAATTTCATGAAATTTGTATTCAAGTAAAACATAGGGTTGACAAAAACTCCAGGATATCGCTCACTACTGATTTCATATTTGGAATGATTTTACACCGGCAGGACTACACATAAGTACGGAGGTGCGTAAACAAGACGTAGCCGTAATCTGAGGTGCATTTTATTACGATTAAAAAGTAAAACATGTAGCTTGACATTAGAATAACCACGTAGTCCAGTAGAATTTTCAGACTCGTTTGAACTGGCATTCACCCTATAAATGTCACAATTTTTCTCGATTCTACATCCGTTCCCAACATTACCCAGGAGTTACGTTCGCTTCCGGATGATGAGGAAATTCACTTTTTGCACCAGGAAAATGTCACAGCATACATGATTATGTTACAGAGTTTGTGCACGATGTCCTTGCGAAAACTCTGTTTCCTGTCCGGTACAAAATGTTACCAATGGTCAAGAATGTGCGGTGGATAACTTTGATGCCTAAAAGACTTGCGACCTAAATTAATTAGTTTCCCTCGCACAATTATCATGGCCGCAAACGTTGCGGTACTGTAAAGCCATTTGTCGTGTGTCCTGAAACGAGAAATGCCCGTGATATAGAGTGAGTTGGCATAGACAGCTGTTGATGCTTTACAGACCGGTCCAGAAGCAGTCATGCCTATGGGGAGGATGAACTCTACGCTGTTCAACCAGAGAGAGAAAAACAAACCGGTAGCAATTACTCACGGAACTGGTTCCCTTCAACTACTCATTTCTAAAAGATGCCCTCAATCGTACCTTCAACTGGAGGATGGACTTTTCACAAAGTTTGAGCTTTAGTAGTCAGTCTCTCGGAGTGTCGAAACCAGAGCGTGTGCTTTCGTTCTTTGTGGACTCGCTGTCCGAAATCACACACTGGAGTATAATAGTTTTTAAAACCCTGAGCTCCATCATCTAAATTTACGGTGCTTTTCATGAAAATGACATTTGTAACATTTACTGCTCCGTGGTGGACATACACAGCCTTGTTGAATGCGCGCGGGTTCACACCGATTTGAAGTTACAATAATGTGTGATACCATCCCTCAGTCGATCAGCTTTTCCTGAACACGGACGATCGAGGGCTTCGACGTATGGATGATGTCCGTCTGGGTAAAATTCCAGTTGATTATTTCGACAGACGCACATAGGATCTTGTACGTGTGCCTCCATTTGGTCTATCAGCCCCGGGCTACGAAGGACCAAGGCACCACGTTGTTTCTTCACACCGCAGATGCCTCACCCGAATTTGGTTACCGACAGCCTTTTCGTCAGCGATCCCATTGGAGTAGATGGTTTCTAGTCTGATTGGTTCAATTCGCGCTTCAAATTCTGTGACGTTCCCGTTCAGTAGTTATTATACGCCCCCTTAGCTCGCCAGGCATCTATGGGCTAAATGAGTGCGTTTGTTAATCATTTGCTTCAGCCAAACAGCATAACGTTGTCCATCTCTACGAAAGTTTGAGGAAGAACAAGTGTAACCAACCCCGATAAGCTGAGTAAACATAAATTAGAGAGAGAGACTGAATAGATCAAACAGAATGCATATTGACATACTATGTATAGGTCATTTCCTGGTTCCCTCAACCAACCCTGAGTAGTCAGTTTTTGGTCTAGTTTGATGACTCTGCTATCCTTTGCATCACGTGCTTTATTTACTACCTTGACACAAGTCAAACAAAGTGTATGGCTTCATGCAAGTATCAAACCGAGAATGGACACCCTTCTTCCCACACTGCACGCAGTAAATAGCAGTGCTACTTGGCCCGCCACATATATTCACGGAATAGAAGTCAACCGAGATCCACAATTCTCTATGGGCAACTACGGAACAGCAGTATTGCAGAGAAAACACGTCCCACGTCCGGAACTTCACTAGGAACTCTCAACAGTTGTCTCCAAATGATAAGTGGTTTTTCGGCTTATTCCAATTTTTGCATTGTACTTATATTTATCAAGGTGTACCTGCCTATTGGAATCAGCATTATACTGGTAAAACAGTCATTTGCTCGTCTTCGTCACCTTCTGTTAATCAATTTAATTACGTTACAACTAGAGCGCTAGCAAATGCACTACTCATAGGGTTGCTAAAAACAATGTGAAAGCCCACTACCGGTTTCGCCCTTTTTAGGGCTCACTTCGGGTGGGTGAACCTCGGGTCGGTTTGGTACATGATTTGGGAAATTAAAGGTCGTTCGCATCTTTTAGATCCTGAAATCCAGCACCAGTACTGATACGGCTCTTGAGATAGGCAGAACCATTGAGAGTCTCGAATTTCACACCAATCGAACGGCATCTGTTTTCAGACCAACACCATTCTTGAAGTGAAATAAACTTACTTTAAGAGGGAAAAACGTAAGGCTGCAAATTCAGTTTCTGACTGGTTTAGTGCTTCCCGTAATTTTTGTATACAGTCATCAAGGAGGGATCCAGAGTCGACTCACCCTGTCTAAGTGGTGCTTCTCCAACCTTCTCAAAGATTATCTGCAAAGTATTCACGGTGCAGTTGTCCCATCACTAAAGAATGTTGGATGCAAGTCTTTTGAACACGAAGGCTCATCATTTTCGAAATATATTTGCGTACTTTAAAGGATTTCATCACCCGTGGTCGAGTCCAGTAGGACAAATTAATACTCACGTGTCGGGACAGTAAGTATGGAGGCCATCTCCTAAGGCAGTCTGGAGGAAACTTAAAATGTTTTGTCCATAGTTCTAGGCAATGACAGGAATTTCGACCTGACTGGCTATCCGCTCTAAATGTTTCACTTACATTTACTCAGTTATACCCAAGAATAAGTATATGAAAGAACAGCTGGAGGTGGGATTCCCAGATCTCGAGACCTATTTCATTTCACCAGTGCGCGAGAATATACCCAGGCAAGAGACGAGGATGTGGAAAGTGGCCCGGACTTCGATTTGAATACGACTTCCTTTGTAGTCGAAAGCTCTGTGCCTAATTTCCACCAGGATATTCATGAGCTGGAAATAAGCACATATGATACTGGTTTCGAAATCGGTTTATCTGGAACATCACCGCCTCAAACTCTGCAGAATAAGTTCAAAAAGTCCCATTGGGGAACCACTTTTTCACAACTAAGTAGCGTACATGACTGTAATATTCGTATTCTGTCCACGTGTCCATCCGTATACTTCTCATTTGGAATACGTTGACAGAAATACAGCCGGGCGCGTGGTCTAGAGGCAGGTCGACATTTCCCTTTCGATAAAACTTTGTTTCATCAGTAACTGAATTCTATCACTCATCTGAAAAGCGGGAAATAGTAGCTCACAGGCGCTTTGGGCAGCTCAGCTACTCATAAAGAGAAGCATCTGTCCAACTCGACCGTTGAAGTGGGAAGTATCGGAAAGTTAATTTGCTGTACTTACTTTGGTATGTAACGACACACAGTCAAGAAAACGTCTCGCCACCATCGGCTATTCACTAGCACCGCACTGCATTTGTTAACATAACACCCCACGTGAGTTGTGTTTTCCCACATTATCTGAAATGGTAATAGGATACCAGAAGGAAAGAATATGTTAAGTACTTTCATCGCGTTTTTTTCTTCTATGGGCCACGTTCATACATGGACGAAACTTACCTGAGTGTAGTGTAGAACCATTTTTGGACTGTACTCGGGAATCGGTCCATAGTGGTAGTCCGCGTATTCATTGTACCATCGCTCAATAGGGCTGTCAGGTTGATTTGAGAAAAATTATTGCCTTGGTAAGGAGCATTGCACGGAAGAAATAAGATAGACAAGAGCGAGTCTTTATTTTCACACGGCCATCAGAACGTGAAATCTGCTCAAACATGAGGCGGTCTGGTGAATCTGAACTTCTTCAATCTCTAACAGAACACTTCTAACGCATTCAAATGTATCTGAGCGCCCGATATGCCGTAAGCCGCCAGACAAGCTTATCAAATTTTGATAAAATCTTCGACTTCCCTATACAGGAATACTTCAAAGCAGAAGAGATAATTGAGTCAGTCGGACGCTTGGAAAGGCATTTATTATTGGAGCGGAAGCAATAAACTTCAATCTGGCGCTAATCTGTTCTAAATAAATAAATAAATAAATAAATAAAACTTTTGGATTTAATTTCGGCCCATCTGTTACCAATGTGCACGTCAGAGCTCTATTATCCAGACAGAAAGACTGCCTAATGCCTCACAAACTGTGGAACACAATCAGCAGTATTCATACAGTTTGCACACACCCTAATAATCTTCAGCCAGGCTGTGAGGAAACCTGTTGAGTACCCAGATATTCTAATAAGAAACATGGTTACGTCTGTGAACGTTGCTGTATCCATTTTTCAATCCACTGGGTTTTTGGCTCAGTTCGATCAAGAATGCTTCCCTCCCCTTTGTGTTACAGGTTTCTTTAATCGTATATGGGCTACTGTAGCCATAAAGAGTTCCTTTTCATGGGATGCGCTGCTTTGAGAGTAGTTGTATCACTTCCACCTAAGGGACTCATTTGGTAATAATACGCACCCTTGTACACTCATGTGCATACCAATTTGGTTTCGACGAGAGGCTCACCTGGAACTAAGCTGAACCTCCTGTATATGGTGTTTTTAAGCAACTTAATTTACAGCACCAGGCCACCTCGCGTTTCAGTGGGCACGATGCTCGAGATATCGCGATAAATTGTATAGACGTAATACACTGAAAAACCTATGACAGTCCACAACCGGTTTCAGCCTAAATGGGGCTCATCATGTAGTTGTAGTCCCGGAGTTTCCATCAAAATTATGTTGCACTTGAAAGCTCATTGCAGGTTGTTACATTTCAGCGGGCATTTTACCTCTGTATTCATGTGGGTAGCTTATTGTACGGGATATCACTGAACTGTGGACTGTTTAGTGGAAGAAGTAATGGATGAATAAAGATAATTGATATTCGATTTGGCGGCAAGTGTATCATTGGGTAGCACATCTGTATTTCCAATTGCTAGTGTTTCTCTTGATAAAGAATTGAGACAATCTAGTGGACAGGCTGGTTTTTTAGGAATTCTGCAAACGGTGTTTCAGTAGTTTTTTTGTTGGTTAGAGTTACAGTGGCATAGAATCGATAGGGGGTTTGATTTGCTTGAAGTGCCACACTTGGGTGAATTATTGGGCGTAATTGCCACAGGTACAGTCGCCACAACAAAAGCTAACTCGGACCGACAATGCACGTCTCCATCTCAGGACACGGCAATTGTCCACTGTGGTCAAAGCAGCACTGTCTTCCAATCTGTAATAGGCTATCGCTGCCCGTTGGGAGACTAAATAGAGCACCCACCATATCACCTGATACCCTTGACTCTAAAAGATGGGGGAGAATATACCCCGTTCAAAACCTTATTCATTTATTTGAATTTCAGCACGACTTCCTATCAGAAAGGCTTGAAAAATTCGAATGTACTGTGGGCATGGTGATTTTCGCGGAAGATGTCAAGTTAATCGTTTCTAGCTCCAAAGCAAATTTGAGCAAACGGTTATCAAATACACTGAGCAGCAATGGAACTTTTGCTAGTAACCAGGTTTTCATCAGGAAGAAAAGTGGTCATCACAAATCCCCAAAATATATGCGGTTCTGTGTGAGGCAGTGCCATGCTTTCCAAATTAGGAATTTGACTTCCGGTTGATTGACAACAAACGTCTAATATCCTGTTTAACCTAGACCCTCTGCCTGACCACGTTGTTTTCGAGGTCATGCTACTCACCTATAGATCCGGATGTTCTAAATCCAGAAGATCCTTTTTCCTTCGGTGAGTGAGTATTGTAGTAACGTAAAACAACTCAGTATGTATGCGCATTTCATGTATGCTAGATGGTGTGCAAAGCACAATACTGATTGGATGGTTGCACTTGGGCGTGCGGAGGGAATGTGTTAGCCTCTGGCGTGCACCATCTGCTCGTCGAGAGGAAATCATAAAACTTTCTGCATTTACCTTTCGTAAACAATAACGACTTGGCGGATCGATAATGTTCTTAGAATGCCGTTTGCCTTCGAACTTGGAAGTTGGTGTCAATCTGCCGGAGAACAGTGATTTATTTCCGCTTTATCGTTCTTCATAGAACATGGCATGATGACCCAATCTGGGTGTTCTGTTAAGTCTCCACTGATTTAATACAAAGGTCCGAAACGGAGAAAATATCATGCTCAGTCAACATCACATGAATGGTAGTGGTAAGTACCATTAGTGATGTTGGAGATACGTTATTGGACAGCAGATGTAACAAATTAGGGTAATCTGGTGATTTTTTAACCTTCCATCCGCTTTTTTCGTGTGAGTCGATACTTTATGTAAGCCGAATGAGATTTATTACTGCTACGGTGTTGCGATTTCTCCAGACATTTACCAAAAGAACGAAAACCATAATAAAAATAGGTGGCTTTACCATTCTAGCGTCGGTTCTAAATTCGCGACCAACATCTCATCTATACTGAAAAAATAAAATAATTTACTCCATTTATCTGTAAGTCTTATTAATTTGATGGGAAATGCTTATCTCTTCCGCCATAGTTGAAGAGAGTAAAGTAAAACAACAGCATTTCTCAGTTTGTGCTGCGATTTAAAAAACTACATACTGAAATAAGAAGTCCAATTATACAAAGTATGAACATGAAGACAGGTCTGGTGCCACTGGCCTTCCAACTCGGACATTCCAACCAATCTGGCATTCAAGCCAAAGTGAACTACTGAATGCAGTAAACGTTGACCAAACTCACTTGCCATAACGTACAGTTTCCACGGCCAGGTTTTCTCCCTGGTCCCAAAGTGTTTTGTTGTGAGCAAACTGACACCGCTTAGCCCAGTTTTCAGCCTCTCTCATCAAATAGGGGCTCCATTTCTGTCAAAGTGGAAGTGAACTTAAGGAGTGTCTTCCGGATGGATCAAAATGCCTTGTTATTTGGCGAATCACCAAACGCAAAAATATAGTCAGCGCTATTTCATGACTCACCAAATCCTTTAGATATTTTGCCCGAGGTTGATATGGAACCTGTCCATTTACCAACATCCGACGGTACTTGTTATGCTCTGATAACACTTCACTCGCAAATATTCTGTCGTTATTCGTGGAAAGTGCGCTTATGTGTTCACTTGTTACAGTTAGATAAAAAAACAAAAGGACTATTAATCTGAGTTCCATTCTCGAGCAGTACATCCACTGTTGTCTTCCAGCGTACTTATATCCAGGACCTGTCCCTGCATTTAGTTAAATGGGACGTTTGAATGCAGGTGGTCAAATGGAACTTGTTTGTAGCCTAGTTTCCGGCACTACATATCCTCTTTGCCAGACAAAGTGCTACCCCTTCCATATAGTCATAGAAACTGGACGCTTAATTCGCACGTCACTTGTGATTCATTTTCCACTGTTTGCAGTCTTGTCAAGCTGACATGGGCCGGTGAGGCGGTAAGAAGACTGTCCTGGTGAGGGTAAAAAAATCAAGCGAATGTATTGCCGGTTATCTAAGCTCAAGTGTGAGTTGCATACAAAGTATGTTGAGACTAATAATTGGTGGAACTGAGGGATTTCAAAGCCAATTCTCCTGTGGCATATGGTCAGAACTCGGTTCGTGCTCCCTGCTTTCTCAAAGCATAATTTTTCTAACGACCCCACTATTAGAACTAATCTTAATTACAGTGGTCACGGTAATTAGACTGTCCCTAAGAATTGATACCATAAATTTGTATAAACAGTTGAAATATGGGTTGGTTGTCGTCTGCTCACCACTCTTCATTGGGCAACTGTTTAATAGGATTCTTCACGATATTAGAAGGAGTGACCAGTTCGTTAGATCTTCAGCTAGTAGGATTTCCGGACTTGTTGTTCATTCTTCAGTGCTGTTTTGGTCCTCCTTGAATTCCCACTGAACAACGTATGCCTGGTGTAAGACGCCTTACTCCTTCGAGGAGTGAAAATATGAGGTTATCAACTTAACGGTGAAACGACATTAGAATGAACGTTAAGACTTCACCGGGAATGGGAATCAAGCCATGCAACTTTCACTGTCTCTTTCGAAGGGCATTCAGTGATTTCACCATGTCGAACGGAAATTGCCGACATTTCGGACTAGGGTATACAGGAATGAAGTGATCTCAGAAGATGCGCAGCTTACTCTGTCACGCGGCGACTTTACGGAAACAGTGCTCATGCGGAAAAGCTTAGCTACTGGCTTACACCCTCCACAAATGTCAGTTCGTCTTTAGTATGGAAAATCTTCCATCCTGTTCGGTATCACAATATTTTGATACCACTCAATCTGTACCTGCAAGGTGGTTCAGTAAACAACGAGATCCTTATTGGCGTAGGTATGCGCACAGTGGCACACAGGTATTATTCAGCATTCCGTATGTCCATTTGGTGAGGCAGTGCAATCTTCAGGACAGTTGATGTGGTCAACAGGTTGCTGGTGCCCACTAATTCATTTTGCGAGCGATCGTAGCTATTTGGGGGATATATGCCTCACTGATTTCATCGATCTAACTAATATTTTAGATTCACGGCAACGGTGATACGAAAAGCCTAGAGACTTTTATTCCTTCCACATATACCCGCATTCGCCAGAAATCCCAGAACTTTCTTCACCACTGCGCTTGTGCAACTGATTTTTCAATAATATCCCTTGTTATAATAAGTCTGCCTCGATATCCGTCATTCGTCAAGTGAACCGGACCAAATGCATCCCAGAAATTATGTGATCAATTACGCTGACAAAGTAGTTTCATCGTGACAATAGATAAATGCTTCTTGGGAACACCTAACATAGGGCTTTCTTGTAAATTTAAATAATGGTACATTCAGGTCATGAATTTAATTTTCTTGATAATACTAAGGGCCACTTGATGCGTAACGCGCACGTTTTGTTGAAACGGTCGTTCTTTCAAAAAATATTGGCGTTGAGAACGCACTTATGCCCATAAGGATACCCTAGGCACTAGGGGGTATGAGTAACAATTCACCTGGATAAATTCTTGGTCAACCTCTCTCGGTTCAGTAACATGAACATCGAAGATTTACCCCAGAACTCCTCGTGGTAGAGGGGCATTAGTTGATACCGGCGGCAAATATCACGTAACCAGTCCATCGTATAGGAAAAGGTCTGTCAATATGTGTTCGGGAATCAACTTTTCCAGCAAATGTTACGGGGTCGTCAGGTTTTATAAAGTTTGAATACGAGAATAAATTCTACGTCGGACCACGAAACGAGTAACTCGGAGCCAACTAAAGGGAAAGGCATGACTTTGCAAGTCAACAAGAACAACTGAATTTATCATAAGGGAGACTACTCAGAAGGCTGATCAAAACCTTTTAACAGCCCACAACTGGTTTTACCTAGGCGCAGTCTCCAAGTTTCCGTCAATCTTATGTTCTAATTTAACCCAGGTTTTACTGATTTTGATAACTGCTTTCATTTGCAAAGAAATCTGGAGAATGAATCTCCCGTTCAAGGAGAACATAAGATTGACGGAAACCCGGAGACTGCGATTAATTGATGAGCCCCCAAAAGGGCAAAACCGGTTACTGTATGTCGAAGAGTTTTCTGCAGTTTTGTGAGTAGTTTCCTTTGCGAAACTATACTGCGATAGCTCGAATATTGCACCACCTGAAACATGCGGCTGTCTTTGTCCGGCACATCCAGTTGAAAAATATAATAAACAAGAGGTTCAGTTGAGTCTCCCTTCAAAATGAGTGTAAATGAGTGCAAATGAGTGTATCTATCGAAACGCATCATATTACTTTCGTTGTTTTTTGTTTTTGCCAGAAATTCGGATCCGTGCTTCAAGAACAACACAATTTGATGGGTCACCTGTAAGTCAAAGTGAGGCCAATGAAGAATTTATTTTTCACTGACAAGAGCTATGGAACTACCAACAAACTTGAGACGATCTACCGAGAGTTTACTTGCTGTTGGACGATCTGTGTTACCGTTTCTCAAGAACTTTGTCTTATTTTCTGCAGCTTTGTGCATTATCTGTTTTTTATTGCTACAAAGGCTAGCTCATCTAATTTTTATGTTATATTTCCAGAGTTGTGCATCCATGACAGCCGCTGTTGTTAGTACAGTCCTACTGAGCTCAGTAGTGGTTTGCAATCATGTTTTCCAAACGAAGACACACGAGGGCTTTTCATTTACCTTCGAAGACCAGGTGTAAACCTGGAAAAAGAGGCCTTGGCTCCACGTCATCAGAAAGTTTTGTAACTAATCAGTTGATTGTAGTTAGTAGACTCTGGCCGGTTCAGAAGTGACTTAGTTTAGACTTTAGTTTTCTGAGAGAAAACCAAGTCAGTTTCCGCACAACGTAATCAGTAAAAATATCGGCCAACACTTACGATTGTTGAACTGATACCCACGCACATGATTAGTCACCAAGCGATAGTGTGTAGTTTTCCTAATTCTAAACCCATCATGACTGAGTCCACCTCTCAAGACCTGTTATGTGTTCCTCTGCAATAAGTATAAGCCATATGAACATTAATTCATATAGTAACTCAACTGTTGAGTCCTTTAGTCTGATGACTTTAATGTTACCCTTCAGCGCATGTCACTGGTTTGAAAATACAGTCAGTAAGTCAACTGCACACAGATTACACATGCAGGATTTGTGTGGTTATAACACAGATACCCAATTGGTTCTGAGTAAAATAAAAACTCTAGACTAAAGAGTAAACGCTGGATGTAGTACTGAATTGTGCAGATCTAATGCCAAATATAAAAACGAAGACACAATCGTCCAACTTCACTTATTAACAGCTATCATTCTTGAAATAGGATGGAGTAGCCAGAATAAAGCACGGTAAAACTGCCCCCGAAATCAGGGATACAGTACTGCTAGTGTCCACTACGAAATCAGTGGTGTAGCCAGAATTGTCGGAAATTCGTTCGGTTCGGTGGCCCAGGGTGGTTCAATTAACAGCCAAAGTTAGTAGATAATATTGATGTCTAGCAGAGTCCGGCCAACCTAACCACATGCGACTTTTGGAATCCCAGCGCACACGTCTCGTGCGAATGTAGTTTACAGGAAGTATCACAGCAAACAACTGCTCGGTTTTTTCTTTGAAATGCTTCTTCTGATCGCCATCTTTGACTGCGAAGGGGACTACTCTGAAATTTTGAAAGCTCTTCGACCTTATGAGTAGTGTGTTGCGTTTACACGGTGTATTGCGATATTGGCGTATCGTACTAAGTTAAACATGAGGTGGCCTGGTGGTCATTTAAGAACACCACAAACGAGAGATTCAGTTCGGCCTCGCATGAAAAACAAATTTGCATGCAAATGAGTGTAGTTCACTAATTCTGGGAGACCAGTGAGTGTTTCAGCCCTTTCAAGTGTGGTAGAAGTGAGGTTACCTGGAGATCGGTTGAAACGCGGCAGCACCAAGCAGAATTGGCCGTAGATGAATAGGTAGTGTTGGTTAGTGCCGGATCTGGATTAACCACTAACCTATGTATCTGGATGATCGTCATATTCGCTTTTGGTGGATAGTGTCTGTGCTTAGTGAAGGAATTTCCGTGTATCTTGACACGGAACACACACCAGCAGGCAGAGTTAAACACGTTCGACCATAGCAGAAGATCCAAGTTCAATACACCAAACTAAGACAAAGTGGGCAGCCTATTTGTATTAAACATGACCGTTTACTTCCATATGCATTACCTCTTAAACTGTCCCTTCCCTGTTTCAATGGCAATTCTGATCTTGGTGTTTAGAGTGAAAATTCTGCGTGAAAATCCACAGAACGAACAAAATTACAAAAAAAGCTCGCCCACGCTGAAAAATGCCTCATTCCGACGCACATTTCTTTCACTTTCGTTATAGTGTTCAGAC